TCCTGATCTTCTCCTGATCTTCTCCTAATATTCTCCTAATATTCTCCTAATCTTCTCCTGATGTTCTCCTGAAATTCTCCTAATCTTCTCCTGATGTTCTCCTGATCTTCTCCTGATCTTCTCCTAATATTCTCCTAATATTCTCCTAATCTTCTCCTGATGTTCTCCTGAAATTCTCCTAATCTTCTCCTGATCTTCTCCTAATGTTCTCCTAATATTCTCCTGATCTTCTCCTAATGTTCTCCTGATCTTCTCCTGATGTTCTCCTAATGTTCTCCTGATCTTCTCCTAATCTTCTCCTAATGTTCTCCTGATGTTCTTCTGATGTTCTCCTAATGTTCTCTGAATGTTCTCCTGATCTTATCTCAATGTTCTCCAATGTTCTCCTGATGTTCTCCCAGGGCTCTGTACCTCTCTGCGCCACATAGACCACAGCAGCTTGTTGGTTGACCGCCACACAGAACACCTCCCCGGTGAAGATGTCTGGGTTCTTGGGCCAGCGGAGGTCCAGCTTGAACAGAGCTCCGCCCAGCAGCTGCTGCTGCTGCTGCTGCTGCTGTTGCTGCTGCTTCTGATCGCTGCTGCCGTAAAGCAGCATCATGAGGAGAACCAGCGCCAGCATCCCTGGAGCTACCAGCCACCACTGGCTCCTCTTCTTCAGCCACATCTGCTGCCGGAGAACTTAGCCTGACGGAGGAGCCCAGCCGCGGATGCACAGTTCCGTGTTTATCTCAGCAGGTCACATGATGGGTTCACTTCCTGGAGCCGCGTGGTGCGTTCGCCTTAGGCTCGAAGGTCGGAGATCTGAGTTCCTAGAACGCAGACTGGAGTAAAAATTCCATCACGGAATAAAACTGTGGACAGCTGGCGGTTTTGTCTAATAATAAACACTTAATAAACATGTTTTTAACCAATCAAGGGTGTAACTTTGTGAAAAAGTTGGTGGGGGCGCTTTAAGGGCGGAGGCTGATGGATCTGCAGCTGATCCACCTGAACGCTTTCAATAGGGTTTATATTTTCCAAAAACGAGTTCAAACATTTATTTATTGAATGCGTTACTATTGTTGAGAACACATGAGAACCACAGTATTCTGATATTTATAGTTATAGACAGATGCCTGCCTTTAGTGCATTATTTTATAAAGGGCTCAAAAACATTAATGTATAAAAAAAATGACAAATAACAGCCGATACTGATGCTAATATCAATATATCCTGCATCCCTAGAATGGACACAACTTCACTTCCATCCATCCGTCAATGCATGGCTTCCCTTCAAGCTGCATCACTGATTATCCTCCTTCAAAAGCAGCAAAATCTAATTTAGAAATGTGTCCCATATGTCATTGACAGCCAAAGTCTATATATTGAACCTTATATTTCAAAAATCATTAATACACGGATTTTTATTATTCATGCTTTAATTCTTGTAGGTTTCTTATACTTTAATTTTCAGTCTGTCTCCTGTGAGTCTGGCTGAACTAGAAAAGACAAAAAGATATGTTAAATTTTATTATAGCATAGCGTTTTGTTTTGTTTTTTGTAAACTTGGAGATATATTTTATTGCATGTTGCATATCCCAGTAAATCTGTTTCACCTTTAAATCTGCACCTGTCCCTAATTGTGTCTCTGCTCTGCTTAAAAACAGATTTATGAACCTCTCTACCAATATAATGATTCTCCTTTCAATCAGAAAACAACAGATCTGTGTTTATTTGAATCTGTATCTCTGAGTAATGGTCCTCTGAGGAGCCCAGCTTTTTTAAACTTATATAAATGTACAATCTGTTGCCATTTTTTGCTGAAAAAGCTCAGTTTGTGTAACGAACAGATTTTTCGGTGGCATCTCTGATTTTTTTTAACCAACCAGTCTCCTAACTTTTACTGAAACATCTAAGTAGCTGCTGGTTAATATTCACTGAGTGCTGCTGTGTCTCTCCTCTGTACGCAGTGAATAACGACCCCAAATAATATTCTGTCCCAAAGAGACGGATCCCATGATATTTGAACGAGAGGTGGGACTGGAGAGGGAGGAAAAAACCTGGACTGAAAACGCTCTGAACACAGTTAGCTGCACCAAACCCCAGCTACTGTTGGCTGAAGGAAATCAGGGGAAATTATTGGTGGGGACATGTCCCCTCCAGTCCACCAGAAAGTTACGCCCGTGTAACCAATCAAGAATCCTATTTAGTATCTGCTTATTATTTGGTATATTTGTGGAAAGCTGGTTAATGGAATATTGTATCTATAATTTAATATTTATTTTTCTTAAATTTTATTACACATTGTTTTTTTTTTGTTTGTTTGTTTTATCATTTGTAAAAGACGAAAGTGCTTGTAAATTCCCTTTCTTTGTTTATAATATGAATCTCCTTTTTTAATGCCCTGTCCTTAAATTATGCCTCATATTGCATAATGTTGCCCTATTCTTCTTTATTTACTGTTCTTCTTCTTTTTCTATGTTAAGTTACGCTTTCTATGAATAGTTTTATTGTTTGTATCAGTAACTTTTATGTATAAATTTTAAAACAAATTGAAAAAAAAATCTGCCTATGTTTGAACGTTTAAATGTAAATGAATTCTTCCATATTAGTGTTTATCGCTAATCAGCCACAGAGAAGCATTTCTGTTTTGTTGTGTAACGTCTTTCCAACTTTGGTGCTCCACTTTCCGAGAGAACGCGAACGTTACACCAGGCATGCTCAACTACGCATGCTCCTCCCGTGCCACGTCTGGTCTGCGGGATTGTGACGTCAGGACGTTAGTGCTACGCTAAGTGAGCTCCTTCTGTCCCCAGCTTCTCTTCTCCGGTTGTTTGTCGCCTGAAGCGCAGAGCGGATGACCGACCGCGAACCGCAGCGAAGCCACACCGAAGCGACGCCATGGAGGTCGTGGACAGCCCGCTGAACCTCGTAGGTTCCCGTCCTGGTGTTCCGATCTCAGGCTAATGAAGGCTCCACATTAGCTCCGGACTGAGTGTTCAGATCAGTTTATCGCGATACTTCGAGGTTCCAGTTTAATGAACCATAAAGTCCAGCTGATGCTCATCCACTCTGTCATTTCTTCTCGCGCATTGATGAAACTTTAGGTCTTTAACCATCTGGTTTATGTTTCAAAGCTGTTCTCCTTCCGGGTTTGTAATTATTTTAAATACCTAAGACCGACATGAAAATTGCACATAAACACCCACTCGTGTAATTTCCACTGGGAAGCTGTGAAATGTGAGGGTACTGGAGTGGGTGAGATGAGGTGACCTTTGACCTTTCAACAGGGTGGAGAGCAGAGAAAGTATGACGGATCCACTCATCTCTATTTATTTACTGGATTGTTTATTAACCGACGTGAAGCCATCGGCCGCCATATTGGTACTCCCTAGTTAGACCGGTCTCAATGTAAACAACCTGAGCGCTGCAGCGTTGAGCAACCATGATGTTCTCATTTTCAGGGACTTCAGACTCTTAAAATAAAAATAAATTCATCGCTTTGACACAGACTGGCTGTTTCATAGATTAACTTTAACTTATAATAACAAAATCAGCCCATCACATTGAATAGTCATGAAGGTAATGAAGTCTATAAATGATGTAATATAACATATTATACAAATCCATCTCAATAACATTAATGTGTTAATGGAGCAGAATAATACAGATGAGCCAAAAGTAGTAAATTGATGATGTACATGTATTATACATGGATTGAATTACATAGTACACATAATTTCAAGATTTCACATCAGGACAGAATTACCATTAAATGTCTGTTAATGCTGTAGTATTTTCCTATTTGCAGATTGTGAATGAATGAAGCCGTATGCTTTGCTGTGTCTGTGCATTGGCCTTTAAAAATGTTTGAGGTTCTTTTTTTCCCTCAATATAAAATGTAATATATTTCAGCTCATGACTTTTTCAAATGAGAAATTCAACAAACTCTCCAGAAACGACAGCATCATCGACTTAATAAAGACTGACTATATTGACATTTCACAGTGAATTACTTTCTATTTCCTCTACTTTCTATTTTCTAACGTTAGACCCAATGTCAATGGCTAACTCAGTCAATGTCTTCCAGTCAGTCTGAGATAGTCAGACTAATGCTACGCTACAGACTATACTATAGGATCCATCGGCTATAGATGGATTTATTGGTTAGATCATCCACTGACGGGGAGATGACCTGTGGAACGTCTTCCTGCAGACAGGAAACTGCTGGTTTATGCAGCCAGATGCTGCACATTAAGGCATTTTACTGCACGTCTCAGTGGGAGTGGGGAGTACCAACATGGTGGACGATGGCTTCGCTTTTTTCAGGCAACCAGCAATCCATGGAGTAGAGATCATTGGTGCTGCATCGTTAATGTTCAATGCTATGGCTTTCTTTTTTTTTTTACTATATCACCATCTAAACCTGCAATGTTTTTTAAATGATTGTTAATGGTTGAAGCTAGCAGCCTGTAGCTACCGTTCTCATCGCTGATCAGGATCTAAACTCCTCTGTCTCTTGTCAGGCCCACCAGCAGTGCAGGAAGGCAGAGCGCTTGGTTGTTGCTGGGAAGTATGAAGAGGCCGTTTCCTGCCATGGAAAAGCAGCAGGTAGGAAGTCCTGCAGAACCTCAGGGTGACGTCATCTCTGTGGGCCGCCGCGCCTTCAGATACGCTCTCATTTATTCTGTTTTTACACTCAGAGCATTTTGCACATCTAAGGGTTTGTTAGAGAACAGCAGTCTGTCTCATGTTTGCAACCTTTCGGTACAAACCTTTTTTTTTTTTGGCCTGATGAAGGTCTCAAACTGAAATGTGAGTAAATGTTCCCTCCTTCTGATTGGACACGGTGCAGGAGGCCTCTTTACCTTTAGAGAAGAGCAGCTGACATTAGAGAGGCTTTCTGGTGGAGCTGAGAGGGGCTGAGTATTTCCTGGGATTTCATCTCTTACAATAATGAAAGTGGTTCAGCTGTGTTGGAAAATACACCTGTATTTAATTTTTTTTCTATTATTTTTTAATGATTATTTTTCTAATTGCTTCATTAGTTGAATAATAGTAGATTTATTTAAGTTTAAATCCAACCTGGTTAGCTTGGAGTTTATTTACAGACCTGGACGTTTTTGATCGGCTTCATCTCTAAATGTTTAGATTTTGTTTTCCAGTTTATTCTTCATTTCTGAACGGTTGTTATTTCAGCAGATTCTTTATTCTCCACCAATAAACGAATAAATGAAATCAGGCGTCTGTGGTTCTGATGGAGGAGCTGAGCTCCAGTGTGTCTGACCTCTCTGTCTCTGTCTCTTCCAGATCTTCTCACAGAAGCCATGAAGTCCACAGAGTGTGAGCAGGTGAGTGGAAGCCCCTCATGGTCAGGACGCCATCCGGCGGTGGATGATCACTGCTGCCGTACTTAAAAGGGCTGTTATCCTCCTGCAGCAGTGGGTCGCAGACATTATTGATTTATGCTCAATATTGCAGCGTGGTCTGCGCTATGTTATTCCACGCCACAATGCCAGAGGGCCAATCAGGAACTAGCTGTGGGTCTAGATACGGCTGCGGCGGTGAGGAAGTGGGGCAAGTTTGTGCGACAATGGAGGGACATGAGGGCCAAAAAGAGCGGGGATCCAGGTGGTAAAAGGGTCCCAGCGTTCTCGTGCACCTCGCTCTTCTAGCTGGTCAATTTTCCCGAGTCGTTTTCCACAATGGCGGTCAGACAAACAAAACAAGCCGGTAAGGTACCAAACAGGAAA